AACGGCACACTCATTGAATCAAATAGCTTAATATAGCCGTTAACTAACTTTCATTTACGCTCTCTTTGTATAAAACCCGCCTTCTCCTTCTCAACCCCTCACATCTCATATCTTATCATCTAAATTCTCCCACAAAAACGAACCTACTAATCTATATTACTGCTACTAATAGCTTTGTAGGGTATACAAAGAAAGAAAGAAAGAAATGGCTGTTGGCAGATAATTAAGAAACATAAAAAAAAAAAATGGTTATTAAATAACCATGCATTACCATTGAAAATTAAAGGTGTTTCCAAATATAGGAAAAAATAACTAATGGTAATAAATATTGCAGGCTAAATTTTAAATGGTTTAGGTTGTTTTAGGAAAACTATAAATTGAGCATTTCCTTCATTTGTATGTAATAATTTTCAAGAGAAAATCTGAGAGAAGAAAAATAACTCAGAGAAAAGAGGGGTTGTGTTTCTGCACTTTGGTATAAATAGACATTTTGTTTATGTAATTTATTTCTCCCTCAAATTTGATTAAATAGAAAATTTGCATTATTTTCTTGACAATTGGTATCAAGAGCTTGGTTGACAATTAGTCCACATTACGATAAAAATAAAAACGATCCTAAAAGAAAAGGTCAAATTTGAGTGGGAGAAATGGCTGCAGACAAAGGAGAAGTTAAACTTGAAAAATTCGATGGTAAAGATTTCGGATTTTGGAAAATGCAGATTGAAGATTATTTATACCAGAAAAAACTCTATCAACCTCTGGAAGAGAAAAAGCCAGATGGCATGCAAGAAGCAGAATGGAAGCTTTTAGATAGACAAGCACTCGGAGTTATTCGATTGACGTTATCACGCAATGTGGCGTTTAACATTGCAAAGGAAACCACAACGGCAGGTCTCATGAAAGCTCTCTCTAATATGTATGAGAAGCCATCAGCCTCCAATAAAGTTCATTTGATGAGGCGGTTGTTTAGTTTGAGGATGTCGGAAGGTGGATCGGTAGCTCAACACCTTTATGAACTCAATTCTGTCACAACCCAATTGAGTTCTGTTGAAATCAAATTTGATGATGAAGTATTAGCGTTAATACTTTTATCTTCCCTGCCAGATAATTGGAATGCTACAGTCACAGCTGTGAGTAGCTCATCGGGAAATAACAAGTTGAAGTTTGATGACGTTCGTGATCTGGTTCTTAGTGAGGAGATTCGACGAAGAGAATCAGGTGAATCTTCATCCTCTTCAGTATTGCATACAGAGTCAAGAGGAAGAAATTTAATCAGAAGGAATGAACGCGAAAGATCAAACTATCGAGGACAATCCAGAGATAGGAGGTCAAAATCCAGGAATCCAAATAATTTCCAAAACTCAAAGACTGTGGAGTGTTGGAATTGTGGAAAGATTAGGCACTATAAAAATCAGTGCAAGGGAACACTAAAAGGCAAAGAAGTGAAGGTAGAGGCAAATGTCACTTCTACCGAAGAAGGTAATGATGCGTTGATATGCTCATTGGAGAGCAAAGAAGAGTCTTGGGTATTAGACTCTGGAGCATCGTTCCATGCTACTTCTAATAAAAACTTTTTTGAGAAGTATGACCATAGAAACCTTGGACATGTATACCTTGGTGATGACCAACCTTGTGATATTGTTGGTCAAGGTAATGTCAAAATTAAGTTAAATGGGTCAGCTTGGGAGCTGAAGGATGTCAAACATGTTCCCGACCTAAGAAAGAACTTGATCTCAGTTGGGCAGTTGGCTCGTGAAGGTTACACTATAATCTTTCAAGGTGATAATTGGAAGATTTCAAAGGGAGCAATGATAGTTGCTCATGGTAAAAAGAATGGTACTCTCTATTTGACAGCTGGAGCGTGTTATTCGATTGCAGTTGCAACAGAGAATGAAAATTCCAAGTTATGGCACCAAAGACTTGGTCACATGAGTGAGAAAGGAATGAAGATCATGCATTCAATTGGAAAACTCCCTAGTCTAAAATCTGTGAATTTAGACATGTGTGAAGAATGCATACTTGGAAAACAGAAGAGGGTAAGCTTCCAGACATATGGAAGAACTCCAATGAAAGAAAAATTGGAGCTTGTTCATTCTGATGTGTGGGGACCAACAACCACCCGGTCTATAGGTGGAAAACAGTACTTTGTGACTTTTATTGATGATCACTCTAGGAAAGTATGGGTTTACTTTCTAAAATACAAGTCCGAAGTGTTTGAAGTTTTCAGGATATGGAAAGCTAGGGTTGAAAATGAAACAGGTCTGAAGATCAAAAGATTCAGGTCCGACAATGGCGGAGAATATGAGGACACCAAATTCAAGAAGTTTTGCTACGAGCATGGTATTAAGATGGAAAGAACTGTGCCAGGTACGCCTCAGCATAATGGCATAGCTGAGCGGATGAACCGAACATTGACAGAAAGAGCCAGAAGCATTCGTATATAGTCAGGTCTACCAAAACAATTCTGGGCAGAAGCAGTCAATACAGCAGCTTACTTGATCAATCGAGGACCATCAACCCTATTGGAGTACAAATTACCAGAGGAGGTATGGAGCGGCAAAGAGATCAAATTGTCGCACTTAAAGGTATTTGGTTGTGTAGCTTATGTGCACATTAGTGATCAAGGCAGAAATAAGCTTGATCCTAAATCAAAAGTTTGCACTTTTATCGGTTATGGCGAAGATGAGTTCGGATACCGCATTTGGGATGATGAAAGCAAAAAGATTATTCGTTCAAGAGATGTAATTTTCAATGAGAGAGTCATGTACAAAGATAGGCATAAAATTGAGAGTTATGAAACAAATCAAAAAGAATCTACATTCATTGATGAAGATTATGTCCCAGACAGTACGATGCAAGAGTACACTATCATAAGTACTCCGCAACAAGAAGAACATAGTGTACAGGGCAGTACATCTCAATCAAATGACATACAACAACCTTCTTGTCCAACTCCTACACTAAGAAGGAGTACTCGACCACATGTGCCTAATAAAAAATATATGAATTATTTGTTATTAACTGATGATGGGGAACCAGAAGATTATTATGAAGCATCCCAGACCAGAGATGCTAGCAAGTGGGGGCTTGCAATGAAAGATGAAATGCAATCCCTGATTTCAAACCAGACATGGGAACTAACTAAGTTACCCATAGGTAAGAAGGCCCTTCATAACAAATGGATATATCGAGCAAAAAAGAAGCACGATGATTCCAAGAGGTATAAGGCTCGACTAGTTGTCAAAGGTTTTCAACAGAAAGAGGGAGTTGATTATAATGAGATATTCGCTCCTGTTGTGAAACTCAATACCATTAGAACAGTGTTGAGTATTGTTGCAATTGAAGATCTTTATCTCGAGCAGTTAGATGTGAAGACTGCATTTCTTCATGGAGATCTTGATGAAGAAATATACATGCACCAGCCAGAAGGTTTTATAAAAAGTGGGAAAGAGCAGTTGGTATGCAAACTTAAGAAAAGTTTATACGGGCTAAAACAAGCCCCAAGACAATGGTACAAAAAGTTTGATAACTTCATGCACAAGGAAGATTTCCAGAAGTGCAACGCTGACCACTGTTGCTACTTCAAGAGATATCAATCCAGTTATATCATCCTATTACTTTATGTTGATGATATGTTAATAGCAGGTTCTGATATGAATGATATTATAAAGTTGAAGCATCAATTGTCATAGGAATTTGACATGAAGGACTTGGGTCCAGCAAAGAAGATTTTAGGAATGCAAATCACAAGAGATAAGCAGAGAGGCACTTTGCAGTTATCACAATCAGAGTACATCAAACGTGTTCTTCAGAGATTTAATATGGGTGATGCTAAGCCTGTTAGTACACCGTTGGCGAGTCATTTTCGTCTATCAAAGGATCAGTCCCCTCAGACAGATGAAGATAAAGAATATATGGCCAAGGTTCCTTATGCCTCGGCTATTGGAAGTTTGATGTATGCAATGGTTTGTACAAGACCAGATATTGGACATGCAGTGGGAGTTATAAGCAGGTTTATGTCCAATCCAGGAAAAGTCCATTGGGAAGCTGTTAAATGGATTTTGAGGTATTTACGAGGTACAATTAATAAGTGTTTGTACTTTGGTAAAGGTGAATTGAAAATACAAGGTTACGTTGATGCAGACTTTGGCGGTGAAGTCGATAATAGAAAGAGCACAACGGGTTATGTATTTACAGTTGGAAATACAGCCGTAAGTTGGATGTCCCAACTACAAAAGATTGTTGCTTTATCCACTACAGAAGCTGAGTATGTGGCAGTGACCGAAGCTAGTAAAGAGATGATATGGCTTCAAGGTTTGTTAGATGAGCTGGGGTTCAAACAAGTGAATAATATTTTGTATAGCGATAGTCAGAGTGCTATACATTTAGCAAAGAATTCGGCGTTTCACTCAAGAACAAAGCACATCGGTATTCGTTATCACTTTATCAGGTCTCTTCTAGAAGATGAAGTGTTAACTCTTAAAAAGATTCTTGGCAGTAAGAATCCAGCAGACATGTTAACGAAAACAGTGACGATTGACAAGTTGAAATTGTGCTCAACATCAATTGGTCTTAAAATGACAGAAGACTAGTTGAGGTTCTACTCCTTGGTGTGAAGACAGATTGAAATCAGTCTTCAAGTGGGAGATTGTTGGCAGATAATTAAGAAACATAAAGAAAAAAAATAAATGGTTATTAAATAACCATGCATTACCATTGAAAATTAAAGGTGTTTCCAAATATAGGGAAAAATAACTAATGGTAATAAATATTGCAGGCTAAATTTTAAATGGCTTAGGTTGTTTTAAGAAAACTATAAATTGAGCATTTCCTTCATTTGTATGTAATAATTTTCAAGAGAAAATCTGAGAGAAGAAAAATAACTCAGAGAAAAGAGGGGTTGTGTTTTTTGCACTTTGGTATAAATAGACATTTTGTTTATGTAATTTATTTCTTCCTCAAATTTGATTAAATAGAAAATTTGCATTATTTTCTTAACAATGGCAAAATTTACTTTCTCTCTCCTCTTTCTCATTCTGCTGTTCTCTGTTTCAGGTACATTTTTCCATCATTGTTTTCAGCAAATTTTTTTTTTTTAAATGGAGGCCAAATTTATTTTTATGAAAAATTTATAAAGATATTTCATTTTTTTTTTCCATTTTTCATATACTAGGCAATTTTTTTTTTCTTTTCTCTTTTTAGTTCGATTTATGAAACATATTTTCATATCTTGCTAGCTATATGGTGTGGTCAGATACTCGGTTGATTAGGGGTTACCCGTTCAGTGTTTTAGCGTGTGTCAATTTGTCGCACAATATGGCTGGTCACACAAAAAAAACGTTGAAAATTATTATACGAAGTTAACTTTTTGCTATGAATTGCTCAATAAGTTAATTTTCCTAATATTTATTTTTTTAATTTGGAGAAAATTTCAGAAAATTGTTATCCATTTTATAAATTTCCAGGGTTATAGGAGATTTTTTTAAACAGTTTATGATTTCAAATTGCTATAAATTTTGATGGACTATATTTTATAGATGTTGTGAAAATCTAAACTAATCAACCATTAATGTATTCTTGTTGACTAGGTCAAATGTTTGCAATGGCAAATATACAGGTAAAAAAAATATGTAAATAAATTCCTTACATTATACCATTTTTTTTTTTTATAGTTAACACAATTTTTATTTATTTTTTGGATTATTAATTATCTCTAATATTTTTGGTGCATTAAATTATTGAAACAGGAAACATGGTGTGTTGCAAAGCCATCATCAGATGATGCAACATTATTAGCAAACATAAACTATGCTTGCTCTCAAGTGGATTGCAGTGTTCTTCATCAAGGGTGTCCTTGTTTCTCTCCTGATAATCTAATAAATCATGCTTCCATTGCTATGAATCTTTATTATAGAGCTAAGGGTTGCCAGCAATTGAATTGTGACTTCAGGGGTTCTGGACTCATTGTCATCACTAATCCTAGTAAGTTCTTATTTCAATTTCCAAAGTCTTTGATTTAGTCATACAATTAAAATACGTAATTATTTTATTGTAAGATGTTAAAAAGTAATCGCTACAGTAAGATATGAACTACAGATGTTATACACTAACTTACGAGTTATTTAAATTATTCATAAAATATTTTGTTGATCATGTTTCAATATATTATTGATTATCTTTCCTTTTTGAGGTGGATTTGATTTGAAAATCTTTGGTAATTAAAATAATTTTAGTGAATTATTGGAGTTTGATGTATATGTGTCATCAATACTACATTTTTAAATACTATTCAACATAGATAACTACACTTGGCAAAACTGAACTATATCTGATTATGCGATTCGAAATTATTTTGTTTTCTAAGCCATTCCTAATGACTCGGCCCAATGCAACTCGACTTGACTTGATGTTTATTTATTATGATGATTATTTTATTTAGGAAAAGCAAAAAAATTATCCAAACTTGACACAAATTGAACGTGAAATTTACTATATATATACCGATGTGAATATCAATAGAAGGCTAAGCCAATTTGTCCAATTATTCTTAAGTTTAACAAGTCTTACTTTACTTGTATAAGGTTTTGGTTTAGCAAGTTTCCTCTCCATTTGGATATTTAGATTATGTTTATTCTAACCCTTTTTTTTTTCAGGTTATGGTAATTGTCTCTACCAATAGAAAGAAATTTCATATAATGTCGGACTTTAAAGGAGGAATATTTGTGGATTTTTGGTCAAATTTTGGTCCAGTATAAATTGATACTGTAATTTTTGTAACAAGGCGAGACCCTTTTTACTAGCTTCAGCCGAATATGAGTTAAATAATTAAACTTATCTCTACCATAAATACCATCAATTTTTGTAGTGTTTTTTTTAATTGAAGAATTACATATTAATTAAATGACATATGTATCAATTTAAAATGGATAAGAATATAAGATCAGTAACCGTTAAGATCAAGCGCTCACAAATTATTTATAACATATATATGATGATGCAAGACCCTCAATATCTCTCAATTTAATAACTCTAAACATGAATCTTCTCTCTTTGAGTTTAGACGTTTAGTAATCTCACTATTATGATAATTCTCTTGAACGACTCAATAAGTCTATAGTGTATATTCATTAGCTACAACTAGTGTTTTTTTTTTTTTTTTAATTTTTTTTAATTTTTTTTATAACCATAATCAATTAATCAAGTTTTTCATTTAACATAACACTACGATTGTGTTTAATGTACCACACCGTGTTAATGTTGTACTTCGTATGTTCTAGCTAGAGACTTGTTTCTAGCTTAGGGCCGGGCTCATTGGCAAATTAAGTCCTATAGTTATTTCAAGTTGAGCCATAATATGTGTCAAAAAAAAGTTGAGCCATAATAAACAAAAGATATCGTCATAGGATTAAATGATTGGTAAAGACTTAAGACATATACATACAAAAATAACTAGGGTCATACTCAAGCACTGCTCCAATTCCTTTTTTTTTTCTTTAGTATGCTTTTTTCAAAGGAAAAATTTATGAGAATAATCTCACCTTTGGGTCGTTCGTTTTTAATAATTCCACCTTTGAGATATTTTTTAATAATCCGACCTTTACCCCCGACACGTGGTGGTCTGTGATTGGTCAAAAATAAAAAAAAATAACAAAAAAACAAAAAAAAAATAATAATAATAAAAAAAAACAGCCAGCCACTAGGGAGCCAGCCCAATCACCAGCCCAGGCCAGCCCCCTGCAGCCGGTACCCGCTCCGACAGACGCGCCGGCGGCCGCCGGTCTCTCTCCCCTTCCCCTCCTTCCTCGACAACCCCATTTTTAAGCTTAAAGAAGACAACAATGGAGGAAACTCCATTGAAGCTCACGTATGGAGTTCATGGCATAATGGGAACTTACTCATTTCTTCACCAAAATGCATGAAATTTGTATCAAAATGCTCACAATCCAACGTATATTCATTTGGTGCAACGAATTAAGAGAGTAACTTAACCAAACAAAAATCCCCAAATTATTATTTTAGAGTTCTTCACGAAAATCAGAAAATTTGAGCATATAAAAAGGGCGATGGTGGGAGCTAAGGGGCGATGGTCGTGAGGGGAGAAAGAGAACGGTGGCGTCGCCGTTTTCCCCCACCCCTGAAAATTCCGTTTTCCTTGGTGGTTTTTGGGGTTTTGGCTGCGATTTCCTTGGTGGTTTTTGGGTTTTTGGCAGCGATTTTGGTGGTTGCGTGAGGAATGGGAGGGGGTTTTCGAGGAGGGGGGAAAACGGCGACGCCAAGGTTAGGGGAGACGCGGCATTCCGACGAGGGAGGGGCGGCGGGCTTGGCAGTGGTGGTGGAGGTTAGGGTGGACCAGTGGGGGAAGGGGAAGCTTGCTTGGTTTTCTGATTTTTTTTTTTTAATTTTGGACAAATCAAATTGTGACACGTGTAAATTAATTTTTTTAAAAAAAAAAATTACCTACTCAACCGGTTTCTGGTAAAATGGGACCATTAAAAAAGAATGGGAGGGTAAAGGTCGGATTATTAAAAAAATATCTCAAAGGTGGGATTATTAAAAACGAACGGCCCAAAGGTGGGATTATTTCCATGAATTTTTCCTTTTTCAAATTACAAAGAAGCCTTCCCAATTTTTGTTATTGTTTACATTTTATTTGTTTTAAAATAATTGACTAGTTGATTTACTTTGACAAATATAGTTGTTATGATTGTTTGAAAATTGAAACTATTTCTCATAAAACAATCAATAGGAGATTAATAATAATTGGGACTACAATATACTTATTGACTAATTGTATTGTTAATACTAATAATAACCCTTGAGATTTATTTTGGAGCGTTGGTTCCAGTTCTAGGTGATAAAATTAAGAACCTATTGCAAACAAGTTATGTTTTGTGTTCTCAAATTTTCAGAAATGTCAATACCGATTCAAATATTGAGTACTCAGAATCAAAAATTAAAACCATATAAATTGTTATATAAGCCCAAACTACAAATCAATCCAAGTTCACTTTGAAAGAAACTAGAATAACAATATCACAAATTCTTATATGTGGCTGGCCACATCGTGTGGCCAACTATAATGAGGGTTACTTCATTAGTGTTATAGGGGTTACTCGGTCAGTGTTACAGGGGTTACTTCTTCAGTATTATAGAGGTTATTTGGTCAGTATTACAGGGTTACTCAGTCAGTATTATAAAGGATTACTTTGTTCTTTTACAACCGGCCACACACAAGACGGACTGGTTTCAAATCTCATTTCCCATAACCGATTGCAACAAGTTTTGATTATGATTTTGAGAATTTTGACAGGGTACCATGTGTTACTCATCGCTAAGGGTGTTAACGAGCCGAGTCTGCTCGTGAACTACTCGAGACTCACCTCGGTCAAAGGTCGAGTGGACTCAACTCAAATTCGGATTCGGCTCGATACGTTAAGCCTAAACTATCCTTGGCTCGGCTCAAAATCTCGTGAACAGCTCGAGTTTTTTTTTTATATTATTTTTATTTTTTTTGGTAATACATCAAAATAAACTTTGTTTCATATTTTGGACTTAGGAACTAAAATTAATATTCAAAACTCTAGCTTGTGTTCTCGCTAAGTCGTTGAGTCTTGGAGATTTCGTTCATGTTTTTTTGTTTTATGGAGAAGAAGAACCAACAAAAGAAAGTAAAAGAAAATAGTCTCACATCGAAAAATAGCAGCAAATGATAGAATATAAGTGTTACAAAAAGCAAAATTTAATTGTCTTGAAACTATGGCTAAGGGCATCATTTGGGCCTCACTGATTTTGGGCTTAACAAGCCTTGATTGAGTCTCGAGCTAAGCTCAATTTTTCTAGTCTTGGCTTCGGCTTGGCTTGTTAATACCCCTACTCACCACTCTTATTCGGAATATAGTACTTCCTCCGTTCTTTTTTTATTGCATTATAGGGGTTTTGGAGGCAAAATTTGGTAGTGGGAAAAAGTAAGAGAGAGAAACGTAAAAATACAAAATTGTCCATGTAATGTAAAGATAAAATAAAAAATAAGTTTGAAAAAGTAAGGGTATGTTGGGTATATATATGCAGCGTGAACATAGATATTTTTTATCCTAAAATGGAAGTGATGCAATATTTGTGAAACTTCCCTAAAAGACAAATGATGCGATATTAAAAGAAAAGAGGAAGTATAATAAATTGTCAGTCTCACCCTTGAATTAACATTTAGTAAATATAATCATAGGCTACTTTCAATAAAGAAAAATCATACGAAATTGGCTGGAATTGTTTATGATATAATCTACTCATCAAATAATCAATAGGAGATTGGCAATAATTGAAATCACTATATACTTATTGACCATTTTGGTTATATTGTTTTGGATAATCTATTAACTATTACTAAAATAAAACGTTGCTGACGTCATCACTGTTCACATGTCACTCACATAATAAATATTTTCCTGCCTAAATGCAAGGATGATGTCATCTTTTTTTTTTTTCATCTACCATATTTAACAAGTTTGAAATTTGAATATTAGAAACTTCTACATTACAACTACAACATATCAATTTATATTTAAAAAATGAAACAATTGTAAATAGCACACTAATAAATAGACTCCTACATTGAAATATGTATTAGGCGACGTTGAACATGTATTATATCATAATTTTGATGAAAATCTAAAACTATAAAATTACAAATATTTTTGTACAAGGTGCATAATTCTTATTTATATTTATCCATTTTTTTTTAAAGTACAAATTATAAAAGTAGATTTTATATAAATCGTGCATCGCACAAGTCCTGACCTAGTCATCTTATATGAATCATAATTAAAAAAAATTGGCAATAATTTGGATTACTATCTACTAATTGACTAACTAAATAGCTAACCATAATCGTTTCAAAAAAAAAAATTAAATAAAGCTAATCTGTTATGAAATAAAAGGGATAGGAGAAAGTAGGGGAGAGAATAGATGGATATTTTTATTAATCAATGATGTAGGAGTATATATGTGTGTGTGTGTGTGTGTATGATACAATTAGGGTTTCCTTATAGAATAATAAACATAGTATATCTAGAATATCCTAGAATTATCATAAGCGTATAATGGACATCCACTAAATACATATATTATATAACACTCCCTCTTGGATGACCATTATCAAATAGTGTGCCTCGTTAAAACCTTACTAGGAAAAACCCGATGGGATAAAAACCTAGTGAAGGAAAAAGAGTGCAACACTTTCATAATATGCCTTGACATGCTGCCTCATTAAAAACCTTACCAGGAAAACCCAATGTGGGACAAAACCTTGGTTAAGGGAAAAAGAGTGCAGCGCGTATTTTCTCCCCCTGATGAATGCATAACTTGAGATCTTCCAATGTAATGATCCAATGCCTTAGTAACTTCACACTTGTACCTAACTATCATTACTTGATAGTTGATCTTCCCTGATCAAACTTGAATCTTCACTGTAAAGCATCTTCGTTTATCCATACTTGTGAGAACAATACCTATGTTGCGTTTACCACTATCTTATATGACATTTTTGTTTAAAGTTGCCTTACCATCAAAATTATGCCTACTTTTGGAGGTCGTAAAAGTAGCTATTGATAATCAAATATTGATAATAATTATGGCAACCCGTGATACCTTGATATCATTATCTAAGTTTATATGAATTAGTAATATATAACATAAGTAATTATTATATACTTTACTCATGGTTCTTCTGGACCATAAGAAGATGATTCTTACTATAATATATCTCATTACTATTCTTCTTTAGACATTTTGCATTTTATACGAGAGTTCTCCAATGTGTACAAAATCGATTAACTCTCAC